GCCATTCTGCTGTGCAAAACCCCTGGATGGATCTGCCTCCTCCTTCGAGACACAGCTCCTCCTCAGAGCTGCAGTTTCCAAGCTTCTGAGCTTCTGCATCACAAAGCAGAAGCTCAGTCACCCCTCTCAGCTCCTTCAGACTAGCCAGCATCAATTAGCAAACACCTGCTGGAACCGTGCATCTACTGAGCTCATTATACAAGCTACGTCTCAGTGGAACACTAGTAAAAACATTGTTAGAAGGTTAATAGAGCGGAGAAAACAGAGCTTCAGAAAGAGCAGGAGTTTTTAAAGGCCCAATTACAAGGCGATTAACCAAAAGTGTAAAAAAGTTTAAGTCATATTTGATATTTATAGCATATTTATAATGACTGACTAACTTGATCTATAAAATGTGACTGGAAAATACATAACGAGGTCCCTATATATACATATATATATAAAGACTATTACACTAAGGCTAATGTGTTGTTGTCTAGTAAAATAGTATGCCTGAATCATTCCTGAGGATATTTCTGTGCATGTTTCTCCCTGTGCCTGCACCTCCTCTTCTAATAACAGTGTGTGTAATTATTGGAGTGACAAACCATCTTGTATGGTTAATGGCAGCTGATTCATCAAACCCCCTGCAGCTTCTCTGGCTGATAAATTGTGAAGCTTAATGTTTGCAATTTACTCAGTATTTAGTCAAGCCAGAACTGCTCCTCAAATTAGTTCTGGGTTAGAGACTCCAATATTTACAATGTTTTCAAATATTTTGAGAGAGAATTCGACATTGACTTGGGTAACAAAGAAACTTGTGAAATGTTCGAAGCTGCATGGAGACCCTAATATAGCCAGATGGGGTGTGGAATAATATGCACATTGGTTTCTAGGAAGCAGTCTAGAGTATTTTGTTAATTCAATGCCACTATTTTCTTTTTTTTTCCTTTTTACATTTTTGTCAGGATTGTCAGAGGCATACATTATAATTTTACTATGAGCTGAATGAAAGAAACAACAAACCAAAAGTGACTCTCAGCAACAGAAAGCAGCATTTGCGGAGAAACACATCCGCATTAACTCCCCTCTATGTGTCGGCAGTGATGTCACCATGCAGGTGCAGTGGTGAGGGATTAACCACTAATGACTACTTGTCACTGCCTTTAACATCTCTAATTGGTCGCTCCTCTCACAAAGCAGCTCTGGCATGCCTCGTCTGTGCCGCCTCTAAACCGCTACTCTGATATGTGGTGATGTGTAATTAAGATGCATATCTTCCCTGCTGATTTCAGGTCTTTTGGGATCACACTAATGCTAGAAGGCACAAACAACAGCCTTACCAAGGCTGCGATGTACAGCGAGCACATATATCATGGCTTTTCTTCTTTTAATTAATCTGGGCTCATGTATGTCAGTTTTAAACATACTAAGTTAGATTGAAAACAGGAGACATTGTGATTCTCTTCGGAAAAAGTCATTTCAAAAGATCATTACATCATTCACACACCTGCTATAACCCTATTGCATTTATGGCAGTGCTGTATACATTATATACATGTATAATATAGGATACATTTATTGGCCAACTGATTTATCAACCAATCAAAGGTAAGATTTTTCTGTTTTTTTTTTTTTTTTCCAAGTAATAAACTACTTAAATCCTTTCTCTACATGCAAAATCCCTTAATCAATATTTTTCCTTCTTGTTTAGCCACTAAATAAAAATAAGCCCATAATGAGAAATTTTGTTTAAAAAAAGAAAGAAACACACTAAAAGATTTGAGGGTGACTTACATTTTGTTTTTACTGATAGTTTATGTGGCAACATAAGTTATCAAATATCTCATTTCAATTTGACAATAAGTGAATATTTTCATAAGTCATCCATGGCTTTTGTGAATGTCTGCCTGTTCGTGCTAAGGTCTCTTTTCCATAATGAGGAGCTGGAGTTCATGAACGTTTGTCCTAAGATGAGGCTGTCTTTAAGCTTATAATTTAAGTGTTACTGTGCAACGGTTTTTGACACTGAAACGATAAATGGTTCCATACAGATTACCTTCAGACTTCCAAACAGAAACAATTACACCCCCCACAGTAAAGTATGCCTCCGTCAAGGTTGCTTGAATTTTTGACCTTCACCAGGCTGAAGAATGGCTGTTTAATATTTGATGCCTGAAGATACTGTAAAAGATGGAACTAATGCTACAACAACACACAACCACAACACAAAAAAGACTGTAAAAATAAAAAGAATGACTGAAAGAATTTCATTGTTTTTTTTGTCTTGTCATTATTAACCAGTGCGCCCATATTTTTAAAGGTAAGACTTCCTTGTTTTTATTAAATGGATTAAGCTAATCGACTGATTTAATTGTTTCATGCCACAGTATATATATCTGCAGGCTATTTCAAATTATAAAAAAAATAACACTGATGTTCAACTCAACTTGTAGTCGCTTGAGAACTCACAATTATTTCAGTCAAAGAAAAAAAAAAGAAAAAAGAAATCTGTCAGTAATGTGGGAAATGATGTGGAGGACGGAGTCCGGAGAGCCAGAGTTACAAAGTAATAAAAAGCTAAGATTACAAAAACATTTTAATCCACCCACAGTGAGGCTGACTGGCCTCCAAAGTTAAGATGACCAATAATCCTAATTCAGTTAATCAGGAGATCTCAAAGTGTAGACGATTAAGAGTGAACACTTAAAAAAATAAATAAAATAAAAATCAAAACTATATATATATATATATATATATATATATATATATATATATATATATATATATATATATATATATATAAAGTATGCCTCCGTATATATATATATATATATATATATATATATATATATATATATATATATATATATATATATATATATATAAAGTATGCCTCCGTATATATATATATATATATATATATATATATATATATATATATATATATATATATATATATATATATATATATATATATATATATATATATATATATATATATATATATATATATAGTTTTGATTTTTATTTTATTTATTTTTTTAAGTGTTCACTAAAAAAAGAAAGAAACACACTAAAAGATTTAAGGGTGACTTACATTTTGTTTTTACTGATAGTTTATGTAGCAACATAAGTTATTATGTTGCTATATATATATATATATATATATAAAAAAGATAATTAATGACTGACTAATAATTAAAAAATTATATATATATATATATATATATATATATATATATATATATATATATATATATATATATATATATAATTTTTTATTATCTTTTTAATTATCTATTGAATTAAAAAGTGTGGTAAATATCATTTTCTCAATATAAAACATGACATGCCTGAAAATATTTTGAGGGAGGGTAAGCAATCTTCAGAAATGAAGAGATTTTAAAATATTTTACATAGCCCTAATTACTTACAAACCAATTTTTGTCTGACGCAGATTTTCTTTTCCTCAGGCAATTAAATTTTGCTAATAAAAAAATCACTTTTAATTGAGGTCAGCAGCGTAATAGTATTGCCTCAAGACTGAAAAGGAAATATTGTGGTAACGATGACATTAAGCAGAATTCAATAATGTGTCAAAATGAAAATGCCCCGCTGTCTCACAAAAGCTGGCATCACTTCTTCTGGTCGTAGATGTCCTCCATCCTTCATCTTCATGCTTGTTTCTGTCTACCTCCGTTAAATTAAAGTGATATTTATATGACTAAAGAGGGCAAGAATTTGTCACTGCACTAAAAACAGCAACTCCAATCACTCTGTGTTGTCTTTGCTGAGTCTGTTTTATTTATTCAGCTACATTCAAGCTACACCAAGGTGAAAATGTATTGTGCATTTCTCATTTTCTATCAAGTACTTTTTTAAACTAGGAAATAAATTGCAGAGCTTTGTATAAAGAGAACATATTAATTCAGCTGTTGCTTAATTGCATCTGGGGTTTAGGCAAAACCTCTTGTTCAATTTGCTTGTACAATTCCCTGCAAAGCCCTCAGCCTGATCCTAATTTATAAACCAAGCAGTTTTTTTTTTTAATTTTATTTAAAGACACTGGATTTATGTTGGGATTAATAGAAAATGAAAGAGGTAGCTTTGACTCTATTTCTCACACTTGGAGTGCATCTTTATGCTATCTAAACTTTATAGAGTATAAGTCAGAAGTTTAGATACACTCATAATAGCCATAAATAAAATATTAATTTGAGTATTTTAATATATTTTTTGAATGGTTCCATGTAGGCATATGCTAATTTAAGTCAATTTTATGACTTTTTACTTGGACACAATAACAAGACATTTATCCCGAACACAAAAGGACAAATGAGTTAAAAATGAATAAAAGGGGCTAACAATAAGTTTATATGACACACTTCCCATCGCAAAATCTCATCCATATTAAAAATTTATAAATTAAGCATGGAATCATAATCTGTACCAGAAAAAGCAATTTCAAGCTACTCCACTGATTCCGTCAGGAAGATTGGCCAAATATTATGCAAGATGCTCATCAAAGGCAAAGAGCATCAAAATTTTACTTTCGATGAGAAATTTATCTAAATATTACCAGGGATAGATATATAAATGTATTTGAATAATTGAATAATTATGACCCTGTTTGATTTTTTAAAAATCTACAAATAAAAGTCATGTATCCTAATTTAAAGATCACATTAAAAAAATAAAATAAATAAAATAAAATCACCCAGTTGTTATTGATAATAATTACATGGTGTGTAATCATCTGGCCATGGAAAAAGTCACATATCAATGTGTTTTTTTTTATCAAAAAGTATGTAAACTTATCAAGCTAAAACCATTGCCAGAACTGTGTCTTTACACATCTTCTTTTTTAATTAAATAAGTAAATTGATTTAATTGCATGTTAAACTTTATCTCAGCTTCACTTCAAGCCCGACCCCTGACATAATCGGTCCGCTTAAAACACACACACGCAAACACACACATTCACCTGGAGGATGTTTGATGTGACATAACAGGTTTTATTAATTACATTGTATCACAACAGACTGGTCCCCCTTCAGAAAAAAAGATCACATGATCATCACCATCATCATCATCATCATCATCATCATCATCATCATCATCATCATCATCATCATCATCATCATCACCATTATGAATAAATACTGTATTATTATTTCCATCACTCAACTATAACATGTCCAGCTTCTCCCTGTGTGGATGTGTGTGTGTGTGTGTGTGTGTGTGTGTGTGCGTGTGCGTGCGTGTGTGTGTGTGTGTGTGTGCGTGTGTGTGTGTGTGTGTGTGTGTGTAAGGGAGCACAAATTACCCATTTGCAGAAACAAATACAAGTAGTTTGAGTTTGCAGTCTCTAAGTAGAATTGACAGCAGGGTCTTGATAGTTGCATTCCTCCATTGTCATATCTTTGTGGATTCAGCAAAACATTTTAAGTTCAGAAGAAAACCATAGAACAAGAAAAAGGAAAAGAGACTATTTTTACATCACAGGTTAGTTCTTCCCTTTTCTCTCCCAAAAAAAAAAGAAAAAAAAAAGCTGCTTTTATGCATTACATTCTTCTAGGTACTCCAGAGCATCCAAGCACAAAAGTAATCCGAGAGATGACCTTAGTGATATTTCAGCTCGATTAAATCAAAGTCTGATGTCACGGTTGTGTGAGAAAGAGAGTGGGGTGTGGGAGCACTAAATGTGATGTGGATCATAACATTTCTAAAGTTGTGAAGTACATATATTGCATTTGAAATGCACCCTGGAGTCACAGAACAGAGTCTAATGTAAAATACATTGAAGTAAGGCAAAGGGGCAGGACAGATTTCTCTAGAAACTGTTGTTGATATGCTAGTGTGAAACCCAGGCTTTGATAAATCGAGGCAAAAAGAAGCCTAACTTGAGCTTTTATAAAAAAAAAAGAGAGAATGACTGACTCTATTAATCATAGCTGCCATAAAAAACAACCACATTTCCATGAGATGGTTTGCAGTTATTTATCATGAAATTGGCATACAGCAACAATAAATCAAATTCTGCTTCCTGTGTTGAGTCTTATGATATTTGAGCTTGGATTTAGTTTGAATGCTGCAAATCAGCCAGCTTTTTACACACACACACACGCACGCACGCACACACACTCACCGAAACCGAATAATCAAAAAGCCGTACATTTTCCCTGGGGGCCACTGGATGTCATTTTTTTGTCTTGGTTCACCTACCCAACTAGCACCCCCTTGATTCAAACATGAAAGAGTAAAACATTTCAGTCTAAATACCGGTACAGTCTGGGACAAACCAGTTAATAATGCTTATTTCTTCCAGCAGCTTATTCACATTTTTTACATAAATTCTTGTTCATCCCTCTTGCCGTTATTTTACAAAAAAAGAAAAAAAAAGAAAGAAAAAGGACAAAAGTAGCACTTCTAAGGACCGGAGGTTAAGACTATCACATACAGTATAGGCAGCATAGAAGAGGAAAAATTGGTTGAATAATCTATCATACAGTAGGTCACTTGATAAAGAGAGAGTGAGTGTAGAGAAGTCTGTGATTGTCAGTCCCTTCTGTCTGAGGTTTCCATTCACACGGCAGATGTTGTTTTTACTTTTTCAGGGTTTTTTTTTTCTGATCAGAGGCAGTGATGCAAAGACTGCCGATCTGTGCAGACCAATCTCTTCCATCTCTCGCTGCCAAAACATCACCCCTGTCCAACGTCACCCACTTCATTATTATTTAAAAAAAATGGGAGAAACAAACACAGCAGGTAAGTGCAGAAACAGTGCTGGGAGCTGGGGAGCTGCTTCAGTGTACGCTACTCTTTTGACATCAGAAGTGTCCGTACGCACTGTATTTATTTTTCACAGTTTTTTCCAGCTTACACACCCTGCCCTCTGTTATTGCACAGAGATATTGTGTGTCGGGTTTTGTTTTGAGTGTGGTTGGTGTGCTTCAGCAGGGACAGATTTTTTTTTCATTTTTTAACCCTGTTAGCATGCGCTGTCAATGCTGCAGCCATTAACCCTTGCAGTTATTCTGACAGGTGAGAATAATTTTGGCAAAATGTCAAACTCAATCGACATAAGTGACATAGTGGTGAGATATTCATCCCTGCTGCCGTGAGCAGTGTCCATGAGGACAGGCTCTGTTGTTATCAAGAAGGAACGGGATGTAAAAATACCCACACACTCAAGATTATCTTACACATTTGTGTAAACATAATCATTAAATTCAAATTCAGTTTGCAGTTGCAAAAAAGGCAACCCTAAAAATAGAAAGAAATGTACAAAAAGGTTTACAAGTTTATAAATTAGATAACAGGAAATCAAATCCACAAACATCAATACCATCAAGTGCTGCAGTTAAATAACAAATAAAGACCTATTATTCCAAATGAAATCTCTACAGCAAATCAAAATGACCGTAAGTGAAATCGTGCTGGTAATGACTTTTAAATATGCCTGTAAAGAGTAAAATATGCACAAGTAAAATGCAAAAGCAAACGTCACATGTGTTTTTTTGCATGCATGTGAGCTGTATTTACAGTATGTCTGTAAGCCAGAGCAGAGTTGTATGTGGAGTGAAGTGGTTCTGTTATCGCAGGATGTGTGATCGATCCTTAAAGATTATTTTCAGAGTTTGTTAGTACGTATGTGAGGCAGCAGGGTTTCTGCAAGTATCAGTAAGGTTATGTCAAGACCTTCCAGAAGTCTTTCCAAGTCCACTGTGATTTAAAATTACGATGTATGTATATGAAAAAACAACCCAACTGATGTCGAACGAACTTTAGAGTATAAACAAGTTCAATCTAGCTTTGTCAACATAAATATGTATTTTACCTTAATGCCTTTGCACTTGCTATAAACCTCAAATACCTTCCCACAGTGTATCGTAACTTTCACAAAAATTATTTCAAAGCTTCAGATATCAAACCAATTTTTATAAAGCCGAGTGTGGATGTTTCAATAAAAAAATAACTGCAGTTCTGTTTCTGGCCTAACGACTTTTTGGCAAACAGCAATAATTACCGTAGTTCATTGTTGATAAAACAAAAACAACCTCTTTAATTCATACTAGTGCTGAAGTTTTTGATCGCACTTCAGCACTAGTAAAAGTTTTAAATATCAATGTGCCTGAAGCCTGTTTGTTGTTTCACTGGATCTTAACACAGCTGATTCAAACATACTGATTCACTAGTAAAGTAGGCGGGTGTGTCTGGTACTTTCCTTGATGGGTTCAGATGTTACTCACCAGACTGTGACGACTTTGTTTCATTTGTTAACTATCAAAGATCACAAGTGAACAAATGAATATCATCAAGGCTCTATTCTCTTCATCTACATGCACTTCCTGATTCTGATTGGAAACTAATCAAACATTGATTTTACCATAATGTTTGCTGATGACACACAGCTTTGTGTCTCACCATATCAACAAATTTCACTATAAGCTTAAAGCCAGTATGTCCATAGTTTTAATGAGTGGTAGTCAGAATTGTATCTATATTAATGCTTTAACTGGGTAACTTCAATTATCACTACTGGTCTCTGTTAAAAAGTCAATCAGCGGCAGCTCATTAAAATGAGACAACAATCGTGACCAAGAGAAGAAATTTTAATACATCACACAAGATCACAAATCACTGCACTGGTTCCCAGTTTGTAAAAGAACAGATTTTAAAATCTTGTTATTGATCTCAAACAGTATGGAAATACTTGGGCCTAGATCATTTCTGAGTTGCTAATCAAGGTTCATAAGTTAGAACCTTGACTGTAAACAGGTTTATCAAGTCATTTTATTATGCCTTCAGTATTTATTGGTTTTTTTTTTTTTAATTCTCTTTCATTTCTCTTTATGCTGCAATTTTGCTTTGTATGTCTTTCTTAAATACCAAGTTTATAAATGGTGGAAAACAAACAAACAACAAAAAAAAAAAATCAGTTGTATTTAAATACCTAAACATAAAATTAGAAGTCCAAAGGTAAATTTTGCAAGCGTAAAACTTCTGCAGTTTCAGGAGGAAGGCTGAATGTCTGAGGACAAATTCCTTGCCACAGGGCTTATTGCTGTCCTGCATTATAGGGTTTGAAGTTTTATGATGACATAATAACACAGTCTAGACAACCAATCACGGTGCAAAGACATAAAAGAAGTTGATGAAAGTTAAGGAAGCAATAATTGAATGAAGATTTAAATTTGAGACAAAACAGTGTTCAGTTTATGACCTACTGAAAATCTGACCTCATTAAAGAAATTTTAGGACTAATGCATTAAAGTCTTTATAACGTTTTAAGACCCTGCGGAAACCCTGGCCTGCATTGAAGTGTGTGTACTGTCTGTGGTTAAAGGCAGCTGTAGGAATGTGAAGGGAGCGTAAAGTTGAAGTTGTGGCTTACAGAACATCTGCTGGCCATAGTAATGATGGATGTTCACGCTTCTTTTTTTTCCCAGAGGAGATTCTCACTTCTCTCCTTCCTTCATCTTGCCAAGTCCGTCTCCAGTCCCTTTCTTTTTACTTCGCTGTTTCCTCTCTGTAGTCTGCTCAATTGCTTTCCAGGACGCATTAATACATCTGCCCGTATTCCTACGCGTCGCCGCTCCTAAATCCGGCGAGCCTAACTGTTTTCTTCTCCTTCACCTTTCCATCCCTCCATCTCTTATTCTCGGCCATAAAACAATAAGTCTTGAATGTCTGTGAGGAGACTGTGCTAATGGAGCCCATTAGCTGTAATGAAATATACATTACACCATTACAGGGGACGGGGCCCGGCTAAAGCACTGCACCGCTCAAATAATAAAACATGTACAATTCAATTTCCTTCTCGGCCCATTTTGAGTGTCTTTCAGTGAGTGGGGGTGGGTCTGTGGGGATGCAGGGATGACAGGATGAGGTATCCAATAGATATGTGTGGGTGTGCTCTCGTGCGCATCCCCTCTTACGCAGATGTGGTTTTCAAGAATGTCTGAGTGCTGAGAGCTTTGAAGATTTAATAGGGGTTGACCAGATGAACCACACCTTCTACAGTGGAGTCACCCACACATTTGACCATGGTCTGACCACTCGATACCCAAACTCCCTCAGCAGCCTTTACGCTACCCAACCCTCCAGCCACCACTCCCCAATATCCCCCAACACTGTGATTTTTGCGATTGTCGGACAGCTGCGGACAAATGAATCAATTGACCTCCGACACAAACGCTTGACATCACAAGTGGAGCATCTGTCGCTTCGGAGGTTTGGGGTGGAGTAGTTATCGTGTTACTCTGCTCTGTATGACTTTGCATCTCAGGCCTGAGGAAAGTAAAATGCAACAGATTACAGCTGTAAAATGCAAACCCATGTAAGTGAGTACCTCAGCATGATGTCTGAAATCTCTTTTCACCACAGTAGTCGGTTGCAGCCGTGTTGTCACCGATTGTTTTGTGCATCAGCAATATTGGCCAACCAGAAATGATCTCCTCAACGCACCTCTTAATTTCATCTGACAGGCAGGGAAGGAGATTGTGTTTACCTTTCTTTCCTTTTCTGGCCATTGTTGTGTCATGCTCAATTTCCCACATGCATACTGATGTCTCAATTGTTGTGTTTGTAGTCCTGCTGGTTAACTGCTGACTGTAATCCTCAGTTTAGAGAGGAAGACGGAAAAAAAAGACAGACAGAGGCGAAAGAGGATAACACAGTGTCTTAACGGCACAGCATCTCGCAGAGCCGTTTCTCCGGAAGTGTCCCATCAGTCTCCTATTTACAAGCAAAATGGTCGGAGCTTCCAGAAATTCCTCCGCCTTCTCTTGCTGCTCCACCTCGAGTTTCCCAGATGCTCAAACATGGTCTGTTGTCTTACAGGCAGCAAAGGGATAAGTCAATTAATAAATCTTATTCATCCGTTTGTTTGTTTGTTATTTTATCAGTTAACTTTCAGTGAGTTTAAAGCATCTGAGAAGAAGTGAGAAGCTTGAAAGTTAAATCACTCTTGATAAAAGTCTCCTTGGTGAAGAAGCAGAACGAATCGGATTGCACACAGGTGAAGAAGTTGGCCGGTGGGAAAGAGATGATGAAGGGAGGAGTTGAAGGAATATTTTTTGATTGCCATAAAGTGAGCTTCACATCCTGTACAGTTACACATTCTGGACACGCATACACACCTACAGACACACACTTACGTCAGCATCCATCAAACACTTCAGTCGGAAGTGTCCCAATGCCCACTTTGACTCACATACACATGCATGCAAACTTTAAATGCACATACATTTAAATATAACCTCACACACACACACACACACACACACACACACACACACACACACACACACACTGTGTTTGATCTTCCACTTGTTCAGCCCAGTATATCCAGATAAACAGGTGAGGCCTTGGCCAGATTTAGGAGCAGACCATGGATTTCTTTAATGTTGAGTCTCATGTGTGGTTCTCTTTGCCAGCAGCCCAGCATCAGGTCGTACACCTCTTTGGGGCAGGTTCTGGGACGCTGCAACACGCGACCTTGAGTTATACACTCAATCACCTGCAGAGGAGAAACAAAAGAAGATCCAGAAATAGGCACTACCCTTAGCACAAGTTGGGTGCTTCATTTTTAGTATTTAAATCTTTTACCTATACAAAGTTAGGTTCTGAGTCCCTCTTTGTCAGTTTTTAATATCTAGATACAAAACAATCGGGCCAGCCTGTACATATTTTCCCAAACCTATTCAGACCTGTGAAAGGTTTAAATTAAAGGTTCAACTCTCTGGACACAGAAAACATCTCTTCCACTCTGAAGACAAACTTCACCAAGTTCCATCTCACTGAACAAGATAACGCTCTAAAGTTGTCATCTTGTCACAGGCGCATATAGTAGCAAAATGTCATACTGAATACATAATTCACTAAACTCTTAGCATAATGCAGAGGAGTAGCCATCAAAATGCAAACTTAATGCTATTTCCCAAAAGCAAAGTCTGCTTTTGAAGCACACATTTGCATTAACATCATTGACACCTAATTCAGCAACAATCACTGAAATACACACCAGTGTGATAAGTTGAATAAAGGAATTGATTTCTGTAGCCAAGAAAAGACTAAAGTTCTCCTCAGCACAGAAACCTATTTTTTTTTGCCATTTATAAATCATCTGCATTTTTGTTATTCTGAAATAACTAGGCTTGTTTTTATTTCCTCCAGCATTAAATTCGCTCTGCTCTTCTCATGCAGTGAATGTTACTTAATGGTGTTCATTAGAATCAGCTGTGTCTAGCAAATTGCTAGATAGAAAAGATCTAATCTGTTTTAAAGTTATCATTTTGGTGCACAATCAGCCACAGAGTCCTCCCTCGTTCTGTGATTGGTATCAGATTAGATGAGGAGAAAAGTATTTGATATGTAATCGAGGAGCAGAACTCTATCTGATATGTAAAAGATATCTGATTGTCAGACTGAGGTCAGAGGTGTTGACCTTTAAAACTGCAGAGAGTTTCTGGTTCATCACAGTCAAAGGAGTCTGGGGTGAAGGTTAATTGCTGAATAATGTTGGGTTCCAAATTAGATGTAGGCTGAAAAGTATTATTTTTTTTTTTTTATCAAATCAAGTTCTAATCCAGTGGGATTCTCATTTTTGTTTTTAGCTCACCTGTAACAGTTCAGCTGCAGCTGCGTCCTACCTCAAAGCCTCAGTTTCAACTTGACTTAACTTGACTGCATTGTTTAGGATCGATTGGGAATGTATGTGATTGATTTGTCTGTATGATTGACTTTTTAAAACACCTTGAGATGATATTTGTGGTGACTTGGGGTTACATGGATAAATTGATTTAAATTTTCAGTTGGATCACGGAATAGATTAAGGTCAATAGAGAGGAAAGAGCAGAGCAACAAAGGAAGGTAATTCTGTCTAAAAATGGTTTTCTTTAGGTGTTACATGTCAAAGTGACAGTTTGAAGAACTTCAAAGTGATGCGGCTTACATTTGTAAAACATGAAAGGAGACACAGGCTCACATATTCATGAAATCATACCTATGAGACACTTCCCCACAAAACTAATAAAATATTTAGATGTACTTCTACAGAGGGGTTGTTTCATCACACCTTGTGGCTACAACATCTCGGTCGTCATCACTTATTAAGATGATAGCACTCCACAAGTAAAATGTGCATATTTTTTTTAATCTATACCGACATTGTGTGGAACTTTCTGTTATCTTTAAAGGTTTCATGTCAGAGCACATTATATTCTCGCTTTAGAAATGTGTCTAAAAATGTGTTTAGAACTTGATATGAAGGAGTCAAATAGAGAGAAGAATAAGTGTCTTTCTTACCTCATTATTGGAGAGCTGGTACCAAGGCTGCTTCCCATAGGTGAAGATCTCCCAAAGGACGACTCCGAGACTCCAAACATCGCTTTCTGTGGTGAACTTCCTGTACATGATGCTTTCAGGGGGCATCCAGCGGATTGGCAGCATGGTATGACCTCCGACCTTTAGAAAGCACACGAGGAAAACAAAGTCATTTGAAAAGGCATTGAGCAGACAAGAATACAACTTATGTAACTAATTTAATTTTAAATGTGTAAGCCGTTAATTTAGCTGTCTTTTATTGTCTTCAATGCAAAAAGCAATTTTAAAACACAAAGAGTCTTTGGAGTTACGTCTTTGAGACAGATGTCATGAGGATGGATGTGTATTGAATTGCAGTGCATAACTACCTGTTGTTGTATACAGAGAAAAGATTATTTCCTTTGCAAAAAAAATTAATTTTTAAAGAAAATGTGTTTAATTGCTGTGTGGCTGTTTATTGGAAATATACAGTAGAACAGGATGGAGTGAGATGTATGTTCTCCAAAAAAGAGAAAGAAAGTGGAGGAAGCAGGGGAAATTTGTGTTAGCAAACAGGTGAAGATAAAGGATTTCACCTCTCTGCTGGCAATACGCGTTAGCATGGGTTTATGAAACGACTGAAAGCCAAAGTTAATGGTTGAGGTCAAAATGCAAGTGAGCAGCCAGATCACAGTGGTGTTGGCCACATTTTAAAGTAAATATTTTGTTTTATTTTGGTTTAGAATTTTTCTCTTGATGAGCGATGATCGTGTTTAATAAATATATTCCCAGTCTTTAATTAGCTGAACTAAGAACTTGTTTTTTTTCTTTGCAGTGTCTGAGCTCAATAAATCTGTATTTCGACCACGATTCCAGTCACCACTTTTTTATCTTCAACTCAAAAATAAATTTAAGTTCGAACTTGAAATATTGTTACTGAGAAAACTGGGATGGACATAATGAGTTTAAGAGGCGTGAAAGAGGGTGCTCCTAGATAATATAATGGAAAGCTACATTACTTCAACAGATTAAACTCTATAAAAAGAACAAACAAATGATATGTAGGAAAAAAATTACAGAAAGGGCTGCAAGCTTGCTTCTATAGGAGTGGTCATACCCATCTGCCTAAAAGTAATAATGCTAGTCAGAACTGGAGGGGGAATTACAAGGTCTGGATGCTGCAAGAATTTTGCTTTCACAATTTATCATAAATGTTAAAGACTAATGGCAACCTTAAAACTTACTTTAAAATTTACTGCATATCAAATTCTTATGTATCTTGAAAACTATTCTATTCTATTCTATTCTATTCTATTCTATTCTATTCTATTCTGACATCCTAAAGCTTTTCACATATTTCACTGTCTTGGTATACTCTCAAATTCAGCACATTTTTAAAGTAGAGCTACAAACAGTTTACTGCTACCCGAGGCATTTCAGTGACTTACATTTGATAGCTTGGTGAAACAGATTGCATCACTCCTGTGACTGTAGCAAGCCAAACCAGCTGAGAGCTCACTGCTTTGTACCGTGTTTCTCCAAACAAAGAGAGCATTCACACTTCAGTGTATTTGCTGGTAACCTCCTCAGGAGGGGACAGACATTTAGCCAGTAATTATGATTAGTGGGTAAATGTGAAACATTATTTGCCAATGATAAACTGTGGGAACCAGTATGTGGGAGACAGTTAACAGTCAGCAGTGACGCACTGAAAATTGCTTCAGTAGATTTGAAAGCAGTTATTTAATTATATACTTTAAGTTGTACTCTGGAATAAGAAGATACAGCGGCTGATGAGGAGCAGAAATAACGGGCTCTCTGTGAGACAGCCGGTCATTTTATTATGCTCTAATCTGAACTCAGCCGGTCGAGTCTGTAACGTTGGTAAATTCATTAGCTGTTTTTATAGTTCATAAAAACTGACAGTTCATTTCTACTGAGACTTCTAACACTGTTGTCAAAGGCTTGGGTCAGCTTGGTCTGGCTGAAGATCATTGTTGTTTCCGGCTCAACTAAAGATAAAAGGCATTTTATGGACAAACTCACATGTTTCTATTTAATAGTCGAATTCATCTACCAAGAAACAATCACTTCCTCCATCTCTTCCACTTCCTTTCAAGGTTGGAAAATACTCTACATAACCATTTATAGATGTCTGAGTAAAGAAAACTTAAAAAAAAAAAACATTCAAATGCAGTCCTTCCATCAGATAGGTAAATGTTTTACATCCCTTTCAGAGCACTAAATGCACTTTTCTTCTATCCGAAAGAAGCTTAAACAGGGAGAAGAAAAGTCATGCTACCAAGAAAAAGTCAAACATGTTTCAGCAACTGATGTTTGACAGAGATACCCCAAAGCGCAACAAGCTATCTAGCGACACAAACACATTATTCGCTCTGCTGATTGTGATCTGCGTGACTGAGAGTTAATCTGTTTCAACAGATTTAAGCAGGGCTGGGTCACACAGGATTCATGTCGGCTTGTTCAACACGATTCAGAGGAAAAGGGCAAGAATAGTGAAAGAAACAGATGGGAAATAAGAACAAGATAGAAAGGTCTTAAATATTTTCAAATGGTTTTGCAGTTCAGCTAAATCTTCACCACAAGTTGCAGAACTACAATGCAGCAGTCTTTAAAAAAAACTATTATCTAAGGTACATTGGGGTTGGCGTTGGAATAAAAACAGTTAATTCTCGTTTTGCGGAAACAGAATGCACACAATCAAACTTTTCAGCATGGTCATTAAATATTTATGTAGGGCTTTTCATTTTGTCATATTAATTCATAATAATTCAGTCAAATGGTCTTACAAAAGATAAAACTAGATCTTTTAAAATTACATAAATAATTATTATCTGATATTACCCACAAATTCAACTTGATAAATAGTGTATCTCATATTTACATTTTCTGAGAGGATCAATGTTTCTTTTGTTTAAAACAGGCATCGCTATTTGTAAATAAATGGTGTCACCGTTTGCAACACGTAAGATGTAATGTTACAAGAAAGTTTTTCTCTGATACAAAAATGCACGTGAGTTTCATCCTGAGGACAAGAGGGATTTGAGGAATTCTCTCAGGTCTTTGAATAATGTGCAAGCTGCTGTTTTGAATAGTTTATGTCTACTGGGATCGAAGTTGTGGAGTTTAGTGTAGTCATGTTTATTCATTTCCCTATTTAAGGATCAAAAAACCATCCAGAAGTAAGGAGATTCCACACCAATGATTTATTATAACATAATTTTTTCCATAAGCAACTAAGATTGGTTTAGTGAAGGTATTTTCACTCTTTTTGCAACTCCTGCAATTAAATTTCTGCAATTATAGTGACTCAAATGCCAATTGTCCAATAAGGCCGATTGCAGGAGCTAAATATGGTCACTATAACTATTTTTGAAATTCTTTTGTAGGAAAGCTAAATACTGTTGACATTTTTTCTCCCTCTCTGTGCTTTTTGCTCACTGAAGCTCTCCTCTTCTTTCACTCTTTTCTTCAAACATGAATCTACCAACAGAACTGTGCTTCATTGCCCTGCGCAGATAGCACAATACATTTTCTGAAGTTTATTTCTGTTATTAATGGTCTGTCACTCTTCTATTTTAGTGAGTGGGTTATTTAATGCAGTCATAAAATGTGCGCAGTCACATAGATAGCCATCAGGCTCAGTTTTACATGGGAGGAAACATATCTGCTGGCACCTTGGCAGTTTTTACACTTCATAACCAGGCCTGGCTCTTTCTGACGTTGATGCTTTATGTTCTCCTCAGCATTTGGTTCATGACTAAATGGACTTCAGTATGCACTACTATTATCTTCGCAGTTAACATGAAGTAAGAAAGAAGATCTTGCTTCAAATTCAACTTAAATTTAGAACTACGGACAAAATTAAGGCATTTTAAGTACTAGATAGTCTTCAGTTTCTCTTCAGGCTTACAGTCAGTCCTATTCCAGCTGGACAATAATCACAAACAAGCATCAAAACTCATTATGGAGCTGATAGAGAAAATGAATGTTGATCAACTGAAATGGACTCAAACCTCAACCCAGCACCACAAAACCATTCTTTTAGATGAAAAGGACGGTCAAATGTACAGACAGCATTATTCCAGCACCTTCTTAAACAAAGCATTTTGTGTTTCTGGATATTGCTAAGGTACATTTACCAAAATATTTGTGGAAGTGTTTGGACGAGGAAATTTAGAGAACTGGATTCCTGTGTGAACAGGAATGCCAATTGTCCAACTTACATAAATCCTCAAAAGATAACCAGAGTAGCAGCCAAGTAAAGCAGTGTTAGCATGATAGATTGGTACATCCTGATAGGTAAAGTATTTTCTTTATCTCTGTTGATAAATTTCTGATAGCTCATTGATGCATCTGATCTTGCTCAACCCCATTAGTGTTTTTGTTTTATTCATCATGGCTGATAATTTCTTCTGATGGCTTGAAATAATACTGAACTGCTGAGCCGTGGGTTTTTTTTTTATGCTTGTTAAATGCGGTTCAGATATGTAGCCCAGATGAACCTGAAACGCCAAACTAATGATCAGAATTCAAGAAGCTTTGCGTTTAAGAAGCAAAGGCTCAAATGTTTCCTCAGGATATTCCTTGTACAGACAACAAAAAGACAAGTGATGGACAATTTTTCTGTGAAAAGCTACAAAATGGTGCAATTAAACAAGAAAACAACATTGAGGAGCCACAAAAGGGAAAATACAGGAATGTGGTTGTTCCTCACTGCTACTAGCCGTTTGTTGCCAACCGCCAGTAAAACCAAAAAGAAGAAGAAGATTAGTTTTTGTCCACTGGGAGACGACGGCAGCAAATACTGAGTAAATTGTTGTTACACTGATGCAGTCTTAAGACCAAGTGTTTGCAAGGACATCTCCCTGCATGTGAGCTGCTTTGTTGTTGATCTCTGCCTCCTCCCCTCCTCTGTTTTCGGTTCCCTTCCTCGCTCTCACCTTCCTTCAGCCCACCTGCATTTCCCTCCAACACACCGTTTCATAAATATTCAGCAGTTCAGCCGGACCTCTGGCTAGAGTTCCAGGAAACCCCAAAACAGGTAGGAAAAAACCCAGATCAAGCACGTGATCTGGACCGCAACTTCCCTATGGTGACAGTACCCATGGTGACAGGGTGGAGTATTATGGGATGTGTTGTCATGGGGACCTGTGAAATCTACCCTGCTCACTCTTATAGAGGAAATCTTTTTCATCTTATTTTTTGCCATGAAAAAAATACCACTAATAAACTATAATTAGTGTCTGATACACAGGTGGAATGGGTCGTTTTCAATTGTAACCATTTTCTTTCCATTTTAATTTTCCATACATTTTAAGACATTTATTTAAATAATGGGTGTCCAGTTCCAGTTCTCACGTGTCAATGTCCTGTCAGTTTTAGGCCGTCTATACACGACAATTTCTGGTGAAAACGGAAGAGTTTTGTTGTGTTTGCGCTGCACACTTACATGAAACCAACAAATGTTTTCTCTGACTCCGGCACAGTTTGAGAATGGCCTCCAGAGTGCAATGGTTCTGAAACGTACCGGTGTCCGTTGTCTCGTAAACAGAATAAATGGATCTTTTTTGTCAGGGAATCCCTAGCTCGCGCATAGTATGATGCAAAAAATAGTTTGGTGCAAAACATAGCTGCTTCCTACAACAGAAGAAGAAACTACTGACAATGCTGGTGTTACTGCAATTCGTGTTTCCCTATCAGATACGTTTCCCTCAGCATAGCCAAGGTGGCAAAACACACACGTGCTCGTTCAGCTATGTTACCAAAAGAACTATGGAAATTGTGAAAGCTCAAACAACGTGTTTCAGAAAAGTTTAACTTTTTCCAACTGCGCCCTAATCAGACACTCATAGCGCGTGTTTTCCCCCATCGGTATCAGAAATGCGACTCGACATTCTTTAAAAAATGGTTCAAATACATGCACACTTAGTTTTAAAGAACCTAGCACCAACTAGTGGCGTGGTGAGGGCATTGCACCTCTTCGATGTGTGCCGGTTAATGTCTTCATGTAAATGTCTTGACAGAAATAGAACAAAAATTGAATTTTTGTTGGATCATTGTTATGAAAACAGGGCCTTGGATTTGCATACTCTACAAACTCACACCAACGAAAAGATTTTGAAACCTCAAACCATTGCTCATCCACTCCACAAATTGCACTCCATTGTATTGGTTTCTCATACATAAACTTTATTACATATTTTGACATTTGTGGTCATATGGAATAGATTCGGAAGTTATTCAAGTGGGATAACTGTTAACATTTTATAGAAAAGCAGTAGCCACCGGCCAAGAAATGGATGCATAAATAGATACAGTTCATTTCTGGGTTGTTCCTTTACTTTAGAAATGTCAAAAGCCCCCATGGAAGCCATTTGGGGGTGCCTAAACACTAGATCCACACGGAGGCGGCAATTTACACAAATCTCCTCCTTGAAGCTGAAGTTTACAGCTGAGATTCTGTCCCACAGAACACTGGCCCTCCACAACTGCCCCACTGAGCTCCTTAGCAGTAGCAACAATCAGCAAACCTGGTGAAACTGTGTGTTTTCTGAGCCTATCACACAAATTACGTCTCAGGCCAATGCTCCTTGAATAACATAATGAACAAACATCGTTGCGATGACATCCTGAAGGTCAAGTGTTGGAAAGAGCAGGAGCTTCTTAAAGAGACAAACAATTTCAAGGCCTTGAACTGGGAAGATAAATTTCTTTCAAGTCATGTTTGATATTTACAGCATTTTCAGAACTGAAGGTGCTGATTGTGGACACTTTAGAGATTCTCTGACTCCTTATGAATGTTTGAGGTAAAAGGGAAAATAACCACAAATGTGTTTTAAAATTCTCTTTGAAGGAAACTAAAAATGTAAGACAGAGTACACCCACCATCAATGGCACATCGTCCCACACTGAAACACTTAGATACCCTTAGACTGAAATGTGGCTGAAGGTTTGATACGAGGCAGTGCCCATCAGATTCCTTGTGTAACAGGGGATTCGGTGACGTCACTGCACCCCCTTCATTTTATCGCCTCTGCTTCTATTTCCACACACATGCATACGTGCTGAGAGGTGGGGCTGAGCTCCAATTCCTTTATGACTCAGCTTTGCTCCCGTCTGACGCAAGAGCATGACTGGGTCCATACACATTACCTTCCCACACACACACACACACACACACACACACACACACACACACACACACACACACACACACACACACACACGCACACACACACACACACACACCTCCGTCTCTTCTAGGTGCTGAGATGTGGCCACCATCCTAAAACTGCCCCTCTGCTGTGCTGTTGTTCTCCTCTGCATTTATTTAGTCGTTCTTTCTGTTTCTGACAGAGACCCTGTTGCAATTTCTGCTTTGTTTTGTCTCCTGTATGATGCCTTTTCTCAGTTGCCGAGCCTCTACACTCTTCCTCCTCCAAATATGTCCCTTTATTGCTCTGTTACTGCCTTTTCTCTCCTTTTTTTGTATTCGTTAATCTATTTCCTCCCCTGTCTGACATCTCACTTTTTCCTCCCTTTTTTCCTCCTGCTGTTTTTTTGTCCCATCTTGTTCCTCCTTTCATCTTTTTACTGCTGTCTCTATCCCTCCTCTCCTTCTCTTTCTCTACTACTGCCTCGGCATACTAAGCAGAAGTTCTCTGATTACTTTTCTTCCTGAGAAACGATGAATTCAACTCCAGAGCTCACCGCCGCTACCTTCGCCCGCTACCCGTTGCCATGGATACAGCCTCAGCACTTGGCGTTATTGAGGAAGGGGTGAAAGGAAGAGGGAGGAGGAGGTTGTTATGTGTTGTCACACAGAGACCGTACTGAAGAAGCCCACTCAGAGAGTTTTTTTTTTTTCCTGATGCATTTAATTTTCTAAATGCAGAAATTAAATATAATAATAATAATAATAATAATAAATACGCCCAAATGTTAGGTCGCAATGCTTATTGTTTCCATTTTGACACTGCAGCTGCACTTTGTGTTCATGAATCAGTGACATATTACAAAGCATAATTTATCTAGCTAATATAACACCCAGTATATTAGCTAGACAATATACTATTCCAGAGTTATTACTTTGGAACACAAAGTACACTGAGCATTTCCTTTTCTGGACTCTGTTGAACAAGAAGAACAATACATTCATTGCATGTCATATAGATTATTATCTTTCAAAGTGTCATTGTTAATGTCATTATTTACTCCAAACAGAGATTTTTCTTGTCACTAAATGAGCCCTCCTCCCTCTCCCGCCTCCTCTGAGTTATCTGTCACTGTCAGTCATGTCAGTATGTCACAACGAATGGGGAAGAGGGTTGGAAAATGGACAGCCACTATCGATCAGTCAATACAGTTTATTAGTCCTTGGCCCTTTGGGAAAGTGACAGATAGCTGTACAGCAGGAGAAAAAAACCTCCACAGATTTACTCCTGACTCACTCATGTACCCCTGGGTTATCTTGACACTCCAAGTAAAGGCAGGGAATGACACAAATAAGGCAATGTTGACAGATAAATGTGCGCTAACGCTGCTCTGCTTGTGTGCAGGCACATTTATTTTTGCCTCTGCTGTTTCTAGATATGCATTCATTACAATAAAACTAATGAATGCCCTTTGTGGGTGTTACATCCCAATGATCTTCCTCTGTAGCATAAAAATGTTCTTTGTCCAACTGTGTGTGCAAGACAACATTTCTATTTCCTTTATTTTAGAATGTCTTCACACATATTAGAAAACTTGGTGACAAGCAACAGATTTTCTGCCGCACAACTGAAGATGTGAAGATGCTATGCATCAGAATATAAGTAAGTAGTTGAAAAGTAACATATCTGTTTAAAAATATCGATATTGGAGCAAAGTGGCAGACAAAAAGCTTACAGTAACAAAAGTTGACTCTTTAGTTCATGCCCATGCTCGGGTTAGGGGTGGGGCTGAAGAGGCGGAGGGGGGGGATGCAGATGGAGACCCATGCAACAGTAAACAGGGGAGGGGTCGGTTGAAAAAAGGGCCAGAAAAGATGTCGACACATACACCTACCCTGTAGTAGTCTGTGCTGTAAACATCCCTGGACATGCCAAAGTCTCCGATCTTAACCAGCAGGTTCTCACCCACCAGACAGTTCCTGCAAAAAGAATAATCAGATAAATACAAACTTTAATATGTTACAGAGGTGGGCTGCCCTCAGAGGCTGAAGTCTTATGTGTTTTGATGTTTTCCTGAATGAAATAGTTTAATTATCTCTCTTTAGTCTGCTGATGACTTATTAATTTGTTTTCAAGTGTTTGTAAGCAGGGAAAGATGCAAAACAAACTCCAGCTTCTCAGCATGGAACTGATCACCATTGTATCATAATCTTTCATAATTTTTTTTCTACTTTACATGGTATTTCCCTAAAAGGTGGTAAACTGTTAACATGTAAGCCTGCTGAAAGAAATTTACCAGTTAAACTGTGAACAGGCTTCAAACAGGCTGTTCAGTGTAGCTAAAGTCAATTCTCCTGCAAAGATGAGGGAGTCAAAATTCATCCACAGAGATATAACATTTATGTAAGTTTATTTTCAAATTCTTGCTGCCGTAATTACTTAGGTTGTTTTTGTCTGATATTGAAATTTATTACACGATCTTCAAAAAAGCAGAAATAGAACAAATCCGAAAGAGATAAATACTTTTCATGTCTCAGTATTTGAAGGATTCATTCAGTTATTTTCTATTGTGATAATGAATCTATAAGACAGAAACCACATAACACAGATCTTATGTACTGCATCTTATGTACAGTAATTTCTTTGGTGGCTGCTCTTTTCTAAAATATTTAAGCTTTCATTGCCAATTATGATTGTTTAAGTTTTGGAGAGAAAAGATGAGATCTTTTTGGACACTTATGAATGTTTTCTTTTCTTTTCCAACTAAATTAAGGAAAAGAACAAAACTTAATTGAAAAAAGTTATTCATTTAAGACTGTTTTCATTTAATTTCACAATTTTTTTTTCAATATTGCCTGTTGATAAATTTTTTTAAAAATAAGTTCTTTCAGCAAATAATAAGGTCGTAAAAGACGCACCTGGTGGCCAAGTCGCGGTGCACAAAGTGCTGTGATGCCAGGTAGACCATGCCAGATGCTATCTGTTGAGCAATATGGAGCATCTGAGACTGGGTCAGCTCCACGGGTCTGGTGGTCTGGCCTTCTGCCATCAGAACTGCATCTGGTCCGTGAGCCCTTCGAGAGAACAGGTGACAAATGTTCAGATGTGCTTTGTACGTTAAGCCTCAAACAAAACACGCAGAGCAATATTCAGCTTCTCTTGAGGAGACTTTTTAAATGACAAACTGCTGCTGAACATTGTTTTCAATTGTCTGATTATGTGTGGCCACACTGGTAACTCTCAATGCAATGAGGAAGAGAGACGTGCCTGAGGAACTTGTTCAGGTCTCCGTGTTTCATGTACTCAAACACCATGATGAGAGGGTCGCTCTCCACACAAACGCCGTAGAACGTGACGATGTGCTCATGCTGCAGGTTGGTCAGCAGCTCGGCCTCTCGGTGGAAATCCTTCCTGGCATTTTCACTGGCCTCTTTCAGTGTCTGCAAACACATACATGCACATAAATGGCATTTATAGCAGAGCAACAAATAAAGAAACTTTACGCTTTTTTCTTTCTACACTACTGGTGATTGGCAATTTTTCATTCTTGGGTTTTCGATATATTATGTTGATCCTTTTTCCTCAGTGGAAGCAAACAGAGTGTTCTTCCTATACAACTGCATTTGAGCTCAGAATACAAAGAGTTAAATTAATATTACATAGACAAAGACAAGGCAGGGAGGTAAAAGAGCCTTTTTCTAAACTAATCGCAATCTCTTCAGTGAATCAGAAAATCTTTGAGGGAGGTTGAGTAACACAAGCATCTGTGATGGAGAAAGAAGAAATGAGAGAAATATCAGTGTGTGAATAGGGCATGAAGAATTGCAGGAAATGAAAGTGATACAGGCTATGTATTAGTTTCCCTTGTAAAAAAACAAGATATGGAAAATTCTCTTGTCCTACATGAATAATAGATCGTCTTCCTACATCATATGACATGTATATACGTGAGTCCGTGTCTCTCTGTGTGCCAAAACACAGAAATAAACTCAGATCACACACACAGAGCAAGAGGTCAGGAAGTCAATGACCCGTAACCCTTGGCCCAGAAAGCAAAGATGGGAGGAAACCTGACTGCAGTCAACATTAAAGCAAAAGCATCAGGAAATGTTTTTTCTGGTCATGTACATGCCAGTCTGTAATATGATACAGCATCAAGATTACGTGCAGGACTATAAGAAGATAGAGAGGGAATGAAAGCCTGTGCTTCAATCTACGTTTGTAATCTAATACCAAACCTACAACACCTGACAATACATCCCTTGAACCTTTTGTGTTTTCGTATTTTGCTAACATATAGCCAAGCAAACATCAGGTTTTTCATTGTCATTTTATGTGAAAAAAAAACATCATAAAGTCAAGTATAATTTTAAAGTGGGAGGGACAAAGATGCTTGTTTTTTTGTCATGAATAGGTATTGTGCTGCTTCGAAGCCGCACTTTAGATGCAGCATACAGTGTCTCTACCAAATTTGCATGTTATCTGAATGAATTTTTGAAAGTTGTTCACTCTCTTTCAGATTTGGTGAAAATCACCTCAACCTCAGATTTTAAAATTGATTCAGCTCTGGGTTTTAACTTGGTCATGAATATGCTTTGATTTAAACTATTTCATTGCACCTCTGCATGTTTCTGCCTGAAAGGTGAAGCTCCACCTCATCTCAAGTCCTTTGCAGCATGCACTGCATGATGATTTTAGTCGTATTCAGCTCCAGCTCAAACTGTACAAACCACATCACAGGGTTAAATAATTCACAGCTCACAAATCATGTTCTCACACCGAACAACTGGATTCTTGGATGCAACCTGACTGCTCACAGTGTATGCACATTTATGGCACATTGGAGCCTTTAATACAGAACTATGAGGAAGAAGAAACTTAGAAAAAACAACAAAAAACAATGGTTCCTCCTTGCCAAATCTTCCCCTTCTGCGCGGAAAAACGGCAACTTAATTTTACTACAGTTGTCTGTATGCTTTTGCCAGAGTTGTTTATGCTAATGTTAGAAACATGAGTAAACCTTAAATTAAATGTGCAAACAGAAATGCTTGGGGGAAAAATATTTTATGTTAGAGATTGTATAACATTCTAAACCTCGACATAGTGCAACTTCTAAAGGAAGCAATTGTTTCTCTACAGCTACACTGTTCAAAGTAAAGTATAGCACGGGCCTCAGTGTGTGCTCGAGTTGAAGGTTTTCTCTAGAAATTATCTGCATTTCGCTCCATCCATCTTTCCTAAAAACTCTGGCCAGCTTCCCTGGCCTCGCAACACGAAGCTGCCAACACCAGGTTTATGGTAGGGATGGTGCGTTCAGGGTGATATACACGTATAGCTCTTCACCAGACGCAGCATTTTGCAAGTTTTATCTCAATTGTTGAGCGAAGCCTCTTTCCCACATGTGGTCTGTTTGTTTCATTATTCAATTAATGGTTTTCGTTAAGTTTCACAATCATGTGCTATGGTGTATTACATAAACTCCACATAAAATCTACGTTTGTTATTCTGACACAGCAAAATGTGCAAGAGTTCAAGGTGAATGAATATCTTTTCTAAGCACTAGATATAGGAAGTCAAGTGTGATTTGGCTTCCTGCTTAATTCCAGGATGCTGAAACCGACAATTTCTCTCCACAGATTACACAGAAGGCTTCTTATAAGCATGGATTTACAGATGATCAATTAAGAAACACATTTTGTTTCAACAAAGATCCTGTTTACTGCTTGTCTCTGCTTAATCATTGAAGAGCACAAAATAACCTCTGTAAAATAATCATAAATCACTGCACAGAGCTGGTCATAATAATGCTGAATCCAGGGCTGCTTGCTGCCGCTGAGTTTTCCCTGTGAGGCAGAAACGTCTACAAGCAACCCATCATGCTGTCTCTCACTGAACTCAAAGTTGATTTAATTCCCAGGCCAAAAAGCCACAATATTACGCTGTGAGTCATCCAGTCCGAGCACATTCAGGTTCTTGGACTGATAAAAAAGCAATCAACAACCTCTAACTCAGAAAGGCGGTGGATCATTTACATGTGAGAAAGAAACATTATTGGACGAGTTTGGTGTTTCTGATACAGTCAAGTTAGTGTGCTGCATTGGATGTGAATATTCTACTGAGCACTGGCACTTGCTGCAGCGTGATTTTGACTGATGGCTCCTCTGTGTTTAATATACAGTAAGAGCAAAATAAAGTAGCTTCCATGTAATGGCTGACTGGGTGATTGATAGCTGACTCCCAAACTGACACCATTAAACTTTCTTAGCGGGTGCATGTCTTAATATGATAAACAATCAAGGACATGTTCTCGTGCTGCAGCGCAGACAGAGTGCAAAGTACGGACAAAATAATTATGTGTAATTATATATTTAAATGGTGAGGCTGTGCCAGATTGTCAACTTATAAACCGGTGCTCAGGCAGCTCGTCTGCCATGGTGTTTGAATTTATGAAAGGCGGAATAAAAAAAATAAAAAGAGTGAAAGGTGATTTGTAGATAGAGGCAGCATGAGTGAAGAGCATTTATTATTTATAGGACAAGCATAATATAAAACCAAAGTTGTAAACCACCTCGTCTTACTTTAAACTTTGCTTTTCCCTCAGCAGATCTCTGGGCTTTCTCTCAATGTTTTAATATTTTCATTCCAACATCTTGCTTCTTTTTCTGCTATTTCTTTGGCAGATTCTTTGCATTTAAAATTTTGGATCATGGTGAGGATTTAAGAAATGACAACATAACATTTGACACAGGATTTGAAAAATTGATTTTTCTTGAAAATATTATATGCTATTGATCTATTTGCTAAAATATGTCAACCAGATTATTTATCAAATATTCAATCAAAGAAGTGGAATGAATAATGTTGCTGTGTTTACAGTAAAACAAACCAGATTAATTTCACAAAAAATTTAACATAGTTTTGGCAGTTTCTTATTCCTCTGATGAGTCGTGTTGCTTGCTTATTTCACTTTTCGCTTGCCTCTTACATAAATGTTTTCTAATTTTGTAGATGTGGACTGAGTTAGATTGCAATCTCAAACAAAAAGCTGCATCAAGTTGCTGAAAGAAACGGACAACAGCCTGAATTGCAAATCTTTAAGTGATGTTTGGAGGTTTGCTATAAAATCATAAGGGACTTCATAAGAAATGTTGTAAAGTGTGTGTCAGTTACTCAATCAATAATGTTAAACTTTAAAAAATATCTTTTTTTTTTTGACACAGTGATTGTAATGGTGCTGTCGCAGAACAAAAAAGCAGACTGAGCACCGTGAAAACATGTTTCTGGGACTTGTGAGGATTAAACAAAAGTCACATCAACTACCAGAAAAAATAATTCTATAATTTAATTAGGAAAACTGCGTAAAAGTTTTTTTTAGTTTTTATTCAAAAAGTCTCATTTTGATTGACACTCCTTTTTATATACAGAACAATCAGACAATTTTCAGCTTTACCATACCTTACTGGTGATCAAATGATTCTTAGCTCAAAAAAATCTGTTCTTACTTTACTAGTTAATGCAAAACAAAGTTGTTTAAAGTGTGAGTCAGACTCAGAGTTCCAAAACTGATTAAAACTGTTTTAAATTAAGTCTGTGGAGGAACAAAAACAAAAGGAAGTTGTAATTTTGCCGTTTGGTGGTCTGTGAGTGCTATTTAAGTTCACGCAGCGCATCAATAGGCGGCGGCCTTGGGGACATTGTTGAATGGGCATAGAAGTGCATTCCTCTGAAGCCCACTTAATGCCCACCAATCCCTAAAAGCCGTGACCTTTCTGCTCAGAATGCATTAAAAGGCAGGCAGCAGGAAATGTAACTAAAAGAAGCAAGTCAAGTCTTTTACACCAGCAAAAACCAGAAGTAAAACAGAATATTGTAACTCAACTTTTTACCTGTCATGTTTACAATCACATAAAAATATTAGCAGCAATGTCTCACCTAGATTTTTAATTTCATTGCATCCAAAAAAAGCAACCCTAATTTTAAAAATTTTATACAATTTATCAACAATACTTTTCTAGTGAAGCAACATCCAACACAATAACAGGTACTGTTGAACTTTTTGGCTAAACGGACTTTATTGGTACCTTTCTTGTGACCACCTTCTGGTCTGATCCTGAGGAAAGTTCGCTTCACTCCTCACTTCAGCTGTGAGTCGTTTGAGGAGGTTCTTTTATGCGCAGAAAATTTCCAGTCACCCCATTTCATCCAAACATCAAGACGAGGTCTTTGACTCACCACAGGACCCCTTACTTTTAGTGCTCAACCAGTTCTTGGTGGATTTAATGCTACAGTATATTTTGGGTCATTGTCATGTGGCAGGATCCAGTTCTGCTTCTGCTTTATTTTTATTTTATAGATGTGCCCAATGTCCTTCATCTATACTGTCAAACTCAATGTAATTTAATAGAAATCTTGGTCTACACGCTCTCTTGTCTTGTTTTTTAAACAGCAAATGTTTACTCTATGCCCAATGGAAAATACCTTTGACAGGAGCAGTCTCAACTACTTTCACATTATCAGGAACAAGATCCCCTGTAGGTCTTATGACTACTATGTTTAATTTAAAGGAGACTTCATTCAACTTCTTTCGGTCTGCTCACAGGGTGAAATTGGACAACCACACCTGGGCATGCAAGGCAGTTTTCAAAAATGCTCTTCACCTCTTTAGTAAAGAGAAATGACTGATTTTAAATTATTTTGATTTTTTTAGTAAACCATTCACTGCCATAGTTTTCTTTCCAAATGCCTCAGAAAGGTGTGGTTTTTCACTCTCACTTAAACTGTCAGAAAACAACCCAAACAAAATGTTTGTGGCTTAAAGCTGACTGACCTTCATCAAAAGGAAGAGAAAGGTTGCTCCAATAATGTTAACTTGATATGTAGGAGAGTTTAGCAATTTTAGTCAAGTGAAAAATGAGGAAATACTATTTAATTCCACTCCAGAAAATGCCTGAATAATGTATTTTATTTCAAAAATGATTTTTTTTTCTTCTTCAGGATTATTAAACTTTACATAAACGTCCATGCATACAAATAAATGTAGCTTTTCCAAGCTGTCAGTGGGAACTCCGGCTCGAGAGATTTTTCTGGTGAAAATTTGGTAGAGCAAGCTGACTAAGCTGAAGTTAAGCTGGCAGGCAGCATCAGCAGGTGGTTTCAGTTATAAGCTGGAAGAAAACAGGAAGTCCAAGAAAAGAAAAGATATGTGGGTTTTCGTGAGGAGGATCTGAGCCAGGATGATGAGTCAGAAGAGGGAGAGAAAAAAACACTGCAGGTGCAAGCAGGAGGTGTAGAGGAGAGAAAGCTGGGGGGAGGAGAAGGGAAGTGGGAGGAAGGATGGTCCTGTGTCAGGTCATGTATTGTTAATGCAAAATTCTTCACCATTCAGATCCTGTTTCACTGCGGATCTGCACAAGAGGAAGCGCTGCCTTGGTGGGGAGGCTGATGGGCAGATACATGTTACAGAAGGATGCTTCTTGGGATGCCACTCAATTTCATCCTGGAAGTCAGCGGTTTTAGCTGTAATCCCACCTTGCCTCTTACAGAGAAACCCTTGATAGAGTCGACTTTGTCACGGTAGCAGCGGAAATGGAGGTGAACATAGATTCTAAAAACGGCACCAGTGCCATATGAAGGATTATATCTCGGAAGGATGCGTATCTTTTTCAGTAATATGAGATTATCTCCTGTAAGTTGCTCAATATTTTGAATATATTGCAAGTATCAGATATCACTTCTTAATATTGGCCTTAAATTGAAATAAAAAATCTTTTTAGACTAAATTCATTTTAAAAACCTCATCACTTGAATTTTATTTTCCATTGATCAGTTTTTTTTTATCAGGACACTCCAGTCTTTTTCTGGATACCTTGAATGGTCACAAAAACAAAATCTCACAATGAGTATTCAGAGATGCAATATCTGCTTTCTGACAGATGATTATATATGTCAAGAAGATGAGAGCGCAGAATAAAAAACACTGATAAAGGAGATGAAGATTTAACCCAGAACAGGTTCATTTCTGTGCTATTTCCTAAATTACAATACAGAAGCAGAAATGCCTGCCCATGTTTCTGCTTAAAAGGCATGCTGTGGAACTGTAGAGTGCATGTAAGAAAGTAATTTTATGATTACCTTGACAGCAACGAGTATCTTCTCCTGGTCAGGTGAAAGGTTGTAGCACTCAGCCAGGAAAACTTTTCCAAAAGCTCCTTCTCCCAGTTCTCTCTTCAGAACGATGTTGTGCCGCTTAATGTGCTGGACAACTAGACAATATGAGAAAGACAGGAGACAAATCATGAACATAAGGCAACTTTTGCTTATTGCTGAGGCATACAGATTTTTTAAATGAGATTTTGTGAGGTTTATGACTGAGAAGAAACAGATGTTCAACAGATTTCCATATTGAGAAATGTCAAAATCAGAAGTTTGCATATGAACAACAAGTCAGTTTATTGTTTTGTTTATTGTTGTACAGTCGTGTTGAAGCCTACACTGTTTCCACAAGGTAGGAAGCTATAATTTATCCAAAATGTCCTGATATGTTGGAGCAATGAGAGTTCCTTTCACTGGAACTAATGGGCAGAGCTTGACTGCTGAAAAACAGCCACACACCATCAACTTTACTCTTGAAATGATGCATTCAGGCAAGTGCTGTTCTCCTTTCAACCACCAAACCCATACTTATTTCTCAGATTGCCAGACAGAGAGACATGATTCATTATTTGACTGGAGTCCAGAGGCAACATCTTTTGCAAAACATCATCTAATGCTTTGCATTGGACTTGGGGATTTAAGTCATGAAAATTAATTTCATGAAGTCTGTTTTGCATTGTACTTCAGGTAATCTATCTTCTTACCCTGCTTTAATAGTTTCCCACTATTTCAGTTTTGGTACCTATTTCAGATAATAAATTACATTTGTTCAAATCAACCTTTCTACTCTGCAAGGGGAAACATAAGCACAAGAACAACACTATACAGTTCAGTAGTTTTAAACTACTTTTATCAGCACTTGTGCCTGAAAAATTACAAAATATTGTGCAATGGAAAAAAAATGACAATGGAGATAAATTGTAACAAATGAATGTCAGATACAACAACTATAAGTAGTTACTTCAAGAAACAGTTTAGAATCTCAGGAATAGATACATCATCATCATCATCATCATCATCATCATCATCATCATCATCATAAATTGGTTATGTTTTGCCTCATTTTTAGCAAAGAGCTCTTTAAAAACTATATTGTAAGGTGGTTTTATCTTTGGTATTTTTCAATGTTTAGACTAAAAATAGGAACAAATTAAGTATAAATTGTTGCAGTGCAGGACAATGTTGCCCCATTTCTCTTGTTTTTGTTCTATACCACACAAAGACAAAAGACAATAAATCCATAGAGAGCAGAATCACCTTGTCTTTTTTATGCTGCATTTTCTCTCTGCATTAAATAGCAATGATAAAGCCTGATGACTGTTATATAAGGTGCAGCTATTATCCTGTAATTAGTATGAAAACAAAGTAAGAACAGCTGGTAGCTGTGGATGAGCTTTCAGTGCTGTTTCATTAAAAAAGCTTCAGTCAAATATTTTTTGAGGCCTTGTTGTTTCCTCCATATTCCCCACAGTGCTTAAAACCTACAAATTATTCCTAATTGGTCATTTTCTCACAATTTTCATTTTTTTCTGCAAAAAAAAAAAAACATGATTTGAAAATCCTTCTTGCACCGCATATAGTTTCTGTCACAATCAATTTTAAAACAGCAACAGTTTCCAATCCTTGAGAATTGTTTTTGCTACTTGAAGCTTGAGTTTCAGCCTGCAGGTTTCTGAGAGAAATAGTGAAATTGTGAAAAGTAATCAGTAGTTTTGGTATTTATCTGTTAAGATGTACCATAATACACTGAGCCTCTGTTTCTCTTAATGCATGTAATCTCCTCCTGCTGCCAGCTCATCCACAGTTGGCTCAGAGGGAGCAACACTGTTTCCTGTTGCTAAGGAATTTGTGACTCTATGCCAGTTGATTTCAAGAAAATTTGGCTTTTCACCATAATTATGACTCAATGTCTTATGATACAGGATGATTAACACTGCGTTATCCTTACTTAGACTTCATTAACCCCTGACTTTTATGGCCCAGATGTTGACGCATAAGCAAACGTGGAGCACATGAGCTTGGGAACGCCCTGAAACACACACATCAACACATGAAGGAGGATAAAGGAGATTTTTGCATGATGAGATTAGGAGGCATATTTAAAGAAAAGCTGTCGCTCAGAATATCACATTAAAGCCCAGCTAGTTCCTGAGAATCAGTTGCATTCATCCACACTGTGAACTGATGATGTTAACCATAAATGTGTCATACAGATAGAAACAGAACAAAAGTGTTATTATATATTTAATACTCTAGAATATTTAACATCAGTTTCAGACTACTCAGTATTCCTTTCTTGTAATATTTTCACCAGAAAGATCAGGTTGTTATCAAAACCGTTATAGTGGATGTGATTTGAGCCAAATACACAGCTGGCCTCGTCTCCTCACTGACCTGTTTGATGTCAAAATGAACACATTTAAAAAATGGATTTTATGAAATGAGGACATTGTTTAAGACTGACTGCATATGTCCTGCACCTTGCCTGCGCCATCGCTATTCTGCCATGTAGCAATTTAACAATGCCTCAGGCGGTGAGTTCAAGGTATAAAAAAACACTTTGATCAAAAGTTGATCTCATATTTTTAAGCCCATAACCTGATTATGATTTATAGAAGATAATATTTTCTGCTTTATATTATTCCTCCTGAAACTGAAACGATACTACAAATAAATCTTTATTTGTGTTTCTGTAAAACATTCGTCAAAGCATCTCTGCTTAACCTAGTTTGGATCTGTGTTTGCAACAAAACAGAAAATCAAAACAGGAGGGAGCTTTTTCTCCCCAACCGGATGAAATATCTGTTTAATTTGTGAGACAAATCAAATACAACATTAAGCTGAGCTTTCACTTGTACTTTGGTCATAGTGAGAATTTCTACTGAAATGAAAAATATGTTATTAATTACATAGGGTGCAAATGGAGTAGCTACTGCAGAAATTTGCTAAACAAATAAACTTGACCTGATTTCACTTGGTTCAACTCCCGCTAAGTTTTTATTGAATTCTTCCAGGAGATGGAAGGGATCTTCTGTAGCTGTCTGTGTTGCAACTGAGTTTGAACAGCTCTGACTGAAAACTATGCTTTGCTAAATTAAAGATTTGTGACAGCAATCCACTGCAATTCTCTATAATGCTATCTGAAAAATATGACTGCCACGCTGCAAGAAAGGCACCAAAGGACAGGAAGCTCATTCTGTATATATAAGCATATATGATCTTAAGAATACTTACTTTAGCTTTAAATGTTTCTATTAATGATCAACAAATGATCCATGTGTTTGCTGAAAACTTCTACTGAAAAACAATGAGCATGTGTCTTTGGTTTAATACAGCAACAGAGAAATGTTTTTTATTATCACTTAAGTGTACATGATGTGTACACAGCTTGATGCAATTACATGCTTTCTCAGTTTTGGTTGTAAAATAGCCTTAAGTAGCCTCAGAACTGTAGGAAATTTTTTGGTAACACTTTATTTGACGGGGTGTGCATATGACTGACATAATACTGTCATAAACATGACTTAACGCCTGCCATGAACATGAGGAAGTCCTCATGAAAGTTTACGACTGTTGTCATGAAGTGTCATATATAATGACACTTTAATGCAAAATTGACACTTTTAATGGACTTTTAATCAAATTTTTAGTGCAACTTTTCAATAATAGGGTCATTATTTACCGAATGACACTCCATGACAACAGTTTTATGAAGACTCCTTCGTGTTCATGACAGTTTTTATGTCAGTCTTAGGCACAGCACTTCAAATAAAGAGTACATTTTCCACTGATTGGAAAGAAACAACATATATTGCCTAGAAAAGATAGGTTGTTAACTTACTCCATCAAGAATAAAAAATAAAACAAAACAACATATGTTTGGCTACATAGAAGTGGATTTTTCAAAAAAATATTTCTTCATTATTGGATTCAAAACTCCAATCAAGGAATCCACAGTGTAATGTTTTCTATTTTGTACGTAAAATGTTTTTAGGAAACAAGGTCAGAAGAAGTGAATGAAAAAGCAGATCGGGGAAGTTTTCAAAAGAATAATACGCAACTGGATTCAGTTCTGACATTTGAGTATCTACATGATACATCAGAATATCTAAACAATAAGATAATTAAAACGTTATCCAATGGCTAAGCAAACAATGTCAAAAGGAAATGTGATTTCAAACAGGAATGTGGCTAATTGGTCCGGTTCCAGTCTAAAACAATAACTTCCTGGAATCATGTTAGTATTTATGGTTCACCTTTGGTTTCTTTAATAGCTATGGACAGAGAACCAATTCTCTTTCCTACATTCCTACATTCTGCAGGAATGTTTCAGTGTACAAAAAGGTCATGTGTGTCCACTGATCATTTCTTTCATCTGCTTTCAGTCTTCCTCCCAGGAACTGCAGCACCAGTCACAAATTAGTTATAATTCTCCATGCAACAGCAGAATACAATGAACCCATGTTCCCCAAAAGACAGCTACCCGCTATTTAACCATCTAATTACCTCACCACACCATGTCCTACTGTGGCTGTAAGTATTTGTCCATGAAAGTGCCTTGCGCCACTTCTCCGTAATTAACATCTTCAAATGGCAAATAAATTGATGTGTGCAGACCAACGCTTCCTCTGTCTCCTTTATTTTCCTTTGGCGTGAAGCCCTGTTGGCTCTCTCAGCGTTTTTATGGTGGATTCTCTTTTAATTGCGCAACTAATGTGTCAGTATAATTATTATTCATTTTATAAAGGAAGGATGTAGAATTAAATGTAATTTCTGTACCTGGCAATTTGGGGTTTTTGTTTTACTGTTATGACAGCAATGACAGCTGCTTACTAAACCTCTGCTCTGGAACGTATATGATGTGCAGTTGACCACATTTAATGCATTTCACACAATGTATTATTGTATTATTTATGATACAATAAATAACTCATGTATAATGAGTTATTACATAGGGTGCATAGGGTGCATTTAATATTCCTCAATCTGTTCTTAAATTTTCTCCTCTTTGCTCAGCAGTAATCATCAGCATTCAATTTTTTTTAAAAGCAAAGGGAATTAATGTTCCCCAACTACTTTCTCTAACATCTTTAGCATGGACAGCACTAAATGTCTTTATAAACTCCTAAGACGTCCAATTTGATCAACATCTTCTAAGCATCTAAAACATAAATTGTAGCCTGTTCGCTGCCTGTTCTTTTCGTTACTCCCGATTGTCACATCTGTCCAAAAGACTTTTTATGGTGGCATAAAACAACTTCAGCAGCTTGGAAATAGTGTGACTCTTTGCTGGAAGCAGGCAGTCCAACAGGTCACATGAAACAATGTTTGACAGATGGTTAGTGAGAAGAAATCCAGCTATGTCAAACTCTTCCCTGATATAATCTGGGTTGATCTTGTGTCTCTGGTTTTCCTCTGCATTTTTCTATAAGTGAGCCACCACATGCCCTCTTACTACAAGGCATAACTAATTGTGACCTACATTTTTTGACATTTGAGTGCTTGTTTATGAACACTGTACTCTTCTGTTGACATATGAATAACATTTTCCAGAAGTATGGTAAACCGAGGTTGAAACAAAACATGAACTTTGAGATATGACTGGATAATAATGATGGAACAACTGAGTGATTGAATATGTGAGGTCGAGAGAGGAGCATTGCTGTCTCAGTCCATGTCCAACACTCAGGACTTTGTCTGAGCTTGTTTGTGAAGTTTGATTTGTACAACAAAAAACTTTAGATATCCTAGGTATTTCAAGATACACTTTTCATTCATGTCGTTTAACTTTTTGCTTTTAATATCTGTTCTGTCATGTAAATTTTTTACACAGTGGTTTATCATTTGTGACACAAAATCACAAAACACTGCTGAAGTTATCTCCACATCACCCCACTTTCAAAAGCCTAAATAGCTTTTTAAAAACCCTGCTGTTTAAAATTAATGAATAGTATTTATGCTAAAACTGCATATAAAGTTTGAAAGATAGAGAAATCATCTACATCATCGTGAACATGTCAATAAAATGAACAGTTTCTTAGTATGGCTTGCGGAGCACATATAGGGAAACAATTAGTTTTCAGAAAGCTGGTGTACATGGCCAAGGAGAGTCACCTGCATCTTGTTAAAACCAGTAAATCAGTTTTCCCAATTTTATTTCGTATAATTTGTCTTTTATTGATTCATTGGTAGTTTTATCATTTGGGCTGAGCCAAGATTTTTACGCTTGTATAAGTTTCTAGTTTAATTGCTAAGTCCAGCAAACTTGCTGTACAACACGAACCATCAGTCTTGTACTCTCTTTCAAAAATATGCATTTTATAAAAGCAGTGGTTCCCAAAATGTGGGATGTGCCCCCTAGGGGCAGCGCACTGCAATTGCAGTGGGGGAGCAGGAAGCAGCATGGATGAATGAAAAAAAAAAAAATAGTTACACAAAGGTGTCTCACTGTAAAGTTGGTTTGTAGTGTGTTTTGTTGCAACCTGAAGTGTGAAATCAACTTCAGTGGAGTTTGAAAACAAATATGTGTAAAGGTTTCTGTGTGGTGGAACGATGTGTGTGATCATTTGATATTTTTTGTCTTTTTTGGTGGAATTTTATTGTAATCCATCGGGCGGCCCAGAAGAAAATCTTTGGGAACCACTATTTAAAAGAAATATAGGAACATCACCTTATTCTGAGCATATGTACCAGTTAGTTAATCTAACAGTTTAAATCATGAAGGTTACTTAGAATTAGTTTTCTTTTACTAAACTTTTGAACATTTTACTGTAAAACTGATGTCTGTAAACACAACACTAGGTTGCTTATTAGTGACTCAAATTGCTTACATCTAATTAAAAAGGTTTTTTTATTCATTGCTACTAATGATGATTAATGATAATGTATGTAGTTGTAGTTCTTAAAAAAAAAAATAAAACTAAGGCTTAAAGACCTCTTGAATGTAAAAGCTTCCTGAATGTGAAATTAATTTCCTCCACGAAAAAATGTCATATGGAAGTAATTTTGACAAGGTTAATAAACGCGGGAATGTTCGAATGAGAAAAATCTGACCATCAGTAAAGAACTCCATTTTGTGACTCACAACAAGCCATAACCAAAAATACCTTCAGTCTTTATTCATGCCATAGTGTTTCTAAACTGCTCAGTAAATTAACTATAAACTGAGTTTATGTAAAGATTAAACTGGTCAATCATTACCACAGCAAATTGTGCCTTCACAAACCTGCACGTTTCACAGTAACCACTTCCTAATGCATCTATTGTGGTTTCCAACAATCATGCCTCCCCTGATGTTATTATTGTTAATGAGGTGTTCACTTCTGAAGAAAGCTGCACAACTGAAGCCGTGCAACACATCTAACGTTTCCCGTGATTAAGCATGGATCCATCATCTCTGCACAGTAATTGTTGCTTCTTCTCTGCTGCCAGGAACAAATCTCTGCAATTATTTAAGTAGCAACGCATACACACTACTGCAGAGACAAGCTGGTTAAAGCCATGATTAAAAAGCAACCAAGAGCCACTTTGCCAAACTGTCTCCATCAAAGCCAATTGTACCTGTCTCTGAAGGCCCCATTGCCAAATAATCGCTCAGATATAGGCTGTATTTAAAGCATATTGCCTGAATGTGACTCAAAGAGGCACACAGAGCAATGATTGTAATGACTGCGATATTTTTTTAAAAACACAAAGAAGAGGACCTACACAGCCACCACAGCATGCTATTGATTAGCATTGATCCAGAGAGCTTTCATTCTTGTCTTTCAGCTGTAAATCCTATCAAGCTGTTCAGTTATATAGTGGGACCAAAGAGGTCAACCCGGAGTCTCTCATTAGTATCCTTTCCAACATGCCTATCCTCCAAAAAAAGCACACGTACACACACACAGACAAATGCATATCTATTATTTATTACTACACAAGGCCAAAGCCTGAAGAGGCTTTTATTACTCGGCAATAATCATAATGTCATATTGATGGAGCAGGTCAATATCCCTGCGTGTTCCCTGTTTATCTGTCTGCTGCTTTGTTCCTTCTGTTTTTCTTTCCTTCTTCATATCACTATATTTTAATCTCCTTTTTATTTATCCTTTCTGTAAATTTCGTACCTACCAAATCAAAGGTCAGTGTCTCGCAGAACTAAAGTGTTTGCATGGCTGCCAATGTATCTCATATCTGTAGTTATTAATTGCTTCCAACTTCAGTAGTTGTGCATGTGTAGGTTTACTTACAAGTGTCAGTCTTCAGCAGGCTGTTGGTGCTCCTGAAATACTGAGGGTTTTCTATCACAGGGATCTTGGTCATGCCAATGATGACAGCATCAGGACCCATCTCTGAGGAAGAGGGAGTGTTGCTGCCATTGGAGACATGATGAAGAGGAGAAGCTGAGTCGTCATCATTGCTGATCACCGATGACGGTCCTGAGGAAGCAAAAATAAATCACGCTGTCAGACTGAAAAATGAAACCACCTCATAGTATCAGAGCTGCATTGGTCTGAGGGGGTTGGAGGCTTTGCTGCTCACACACATTGAGGCGCACAACAGAAGATTGACACTAAAAATGAAACATTTCCTGAAAGATCCATCCATCCATCCATCCATCCATCCATCCATCCATCCATCCATCCATCCATCCATCCATCCATCCATCCATCCATCCATCCATCCATCCATCCATCCATCCATCCATCATGGAAGCAGCAGGTAGCATTTTGCCAATATCTATCTTCTTTTAACCACTCTCAGATTGTTGCAAAAACCAAACAAACAAATAAACCAAAAAAAAACCCAAAATTTCTAATTGATTTACAGAACATATTTTACATTCAGGAGATTTGATGTATCCTGTGTAAACTTCTAAAATCTCCAACCTGCTTCCTGATTGTTCAAATCAGCCGTAAATGTTTCTCTGATTTTTAATGCACGTCAATCCTGTTTTTTCAGGTTCTGTTCATAAGTTGAGTTCATTGTACAACTTGTTAACAAATATATCATTTTACATCTCGGATGAAACAATGTGGCCACTCCTCTTTGCACAGTTTCACAAGATCCTTCAGATTGCCCGTCTCTCTCTTCCCCACAGCTCACATGTGACAATCAAGTTACAACCCATTTTCACTTTGCTGGTCGATTAAACCTTTTTTTTATCTCTTGACATTTCAAAGTTATCTTCATGTTATTCACTCTAACATGGTTCTCTGAATAATTAGAAGAGAAACACGCCAATGACGTTGCAAACCCTTTAGTGTACTCAAAAGTGGGAATGACGTGCTTGTCCACAAAATCACCATTTGTTTTAGTGTTTGTTGAAAAAAGCTCAAACTTAGCCTCATGTGACCAAGCACACAGTCCCATTTAAAGTCTCAGTAGAGGTTTGCAATATGATATTGTTTACCTTTGTATGACAGAAAAATCTTCTTTCTCACATAACTCCTAACAGTTTGCATAAATGTGGTTTAATTGTTGTTATGGGGGAAGAATGATCTAGAGGAGACTCTATGTGTGCTTGAAAAAAAATCTTCTTCACCATCGAGCTTCCTGTGTAAAACAAGAAGTTCTTAGAAACTATGGTCACCTTATAAAAGGGAAACACAATGTAAGACAATGCTGAAATACATCTACATCTAAATATAAAGAGAATCCTTTCTTAAGTCTTTTGCTCACCAATTAAATGCACAAATGAGCTCATATGAAAACACAGTTTTTATTTTTCTTGTTCAAAATACTACTTCACCTTAAGGTTTTTATACACCTCCTTTAGCAGTGTTTATAATAAATGGTTAATATGGGCCATATGAAGCCATCCTGAGCAAATACTTAATATTCATTATCAGCTGTTACATTTAAACCTACAAAAATGTAGACTCTGCAACACTGACGTTAAAGTCAAAGAAAGGCAGCAGACAGTTTTTAAGAAATGAATCTTTTTTGGCCCATTGCAAATATGGGCCAAAAAGACCTTTCACTGTAAATGAAAATGAATGCATGTAGTTATGCAAATTGTTTTGAAAAAAATGCAAAAGGAAAAACATTAAATTTGAAAGGTGGGATGGCATGAGTCAGACACTGAGCCCACACCTGTTAGAAGTAAAGGGTTTGTTTTGGCAGCACAACAGAGGCTGATATTAGCTTTTAATTAAGGAAATTAATACAGTGTCTGAGGTTTGTCAGCCACTATAAACCCTTGTGACTCTACTTCTAATTTTCTGCAAATATAAGAGCCAGAATAAGCAAACTCAAACCCTTTATTGCAAACAGACTGCATCATTAAAGTGTAGTTACATTTTGCAGATGCATCGATTCTCAATTTTGGGTTTGTTTCCACCACCTTTAACACCTTAGAAAGCCACTTAAAATGTGCTACCTGGTTGTGCAGTCTTGTTCACTGAATACAAGTAACACTAATGTGTTTCTGCATCAGTTTTACACAGGCAATAAAATGTGGATCTGCAGTGAAAATCCCCCAGTGCCCTCCAGTAAAACAATGAAGTGGCTGCTCACATGGGAAGAGGAGAAATGTATCTGTAAGAGTTCAGAACACTAATAAAAATTTTAGATTTTCATTGCATTAATTACCCACAGTTTAAATAGAACGGTAACACCTGCTGCATCTTTCCCTCCTTTGTTTATTTATTTTAGAAACCACATAGAGATTCCACAGGGCATTAGTGGCATCACTAATGATTGATGTAAAACGAGCATTAATGATCTTTAACATTCTTGCGTAAAACTGTGTAAATACATTATTTAAACACTGATTTTCAGTGTCAGTCTCTTCAGCAAACCAATAAAAAATGAGTGAGCCTGCTTCATGCTTCCAGCTCTGCACTGTTGTCCAAGTCTTGTGAGCAGCGAGTGGGGAAACGGTCCAAATGGTCTTAAAGGTTTTGCAACTCACTGTATGATGAAAAATGCACACAAACGTAATAGAAGTGAGCTCGGTGCCGTAGACGTCTACAAGATAGAAAACCTCGACCAGAAGAACAGAAAAAGTTTCCAATTCAGATCTATTTCCCAGAACATGAAGCGCAGTAGATGTTTTCCCTCTCATGTGAAGTTGGCTCTGCTGTATCATAATAATACTTCACATTGTTCATTTCCTCTGTCCCCGGCCTCATATCAGACTCTAGTGCTGTTGACAGGGCTGGATTGAGAGAGTGGAGCTGAGAGATTGTGTTTGTGTGTGAATCTAAAGCACCCAGTGTGTGTGCGTGTGTGTGTGTTGGTGTGTGTGTGTGTGTGTTGGTGACTCATGAGGGGAGAGACGAGGCCTTGAGAGAAAGAGACAAAGAATGAAAGCAAGAGCACAATAGTTTGTTTTTCTGTGTCGGGAGGTTGTGCTGTTAAAGTGTGTTGGCTGTGAAGTCTGGCACCGTCACCTGAGTCCAACACCAAGATTTGTAATTTGCTTGTGTTATTCAAAAATATTTTTTGAACAGATAATTCTGGGGCCTCGTGTCTTTGGCAAAAGACAAAAATGGTTTGAAAACATTTCCTTCACATCCAAAGCATCCATGTCTTTTTATACGTGGAAAAAACTAAAGTAATAAAATCAACAATATTAAAATGCACAACAGTTTTATTGCAGCGTGACCTAACAGGGTTAGGTCATTGTTTTTTTGTTTTTTTAAAAACCCATTTTAAAACTACATGAATCAGAATGTTAGACCAAAAACAGGATGTGCTTGTCATGAGGTGTTGATCAACCAATCAAAGTCAAACACGGGTTAAAGTTGGAGCCACTTCTGGATATGTAGCTGGTAAAAACACTTTTTAAAGTAAGAACTCTTATATAAGCTCATTACAGTCAAAATTTGTTTTGAAAAGATCAAAAGGGAAAAAGGAGCCTGGAGAAGAGCAGTTTCTGAAGGTGAAAGGTCAAATCCAAGGTGTTTGAAATGTTCAGGTTGTCTGACAGCCTCAGAGACGTAACATATACAGAACCAGTAAATGGCAAAGGGAGTCTATGCCATCACAAATATTTTTTCAGAGATAATTCATCTTAACCAGAAACAAGAAGGCTGTTTTATTTTTTTTCTGGAGAAAGAAAACGCTTTGAACAACTTTAATTTGACTGTGGAAATGCTCAAAAGCTAAACAGATTTTATATTTCCATAGGAAGAGGCAAGAATGTTTAATTTGCAACAGATATGAGGAAGAGTAGTTTCACTGGAATATCAGTTTCCCAAACGCCATTAAAACAATAAAATGTAAAAAATTCATTTTTACACTGGGGAACGTTAATAACTCTAAATCCATCTCAACATGAGGAAGAAAACAACATGATGGAGACAGGAGTGCAGGTTATTGTCTGTCAGCTTGTGCTTGTGTTTGTGCTGGGAGGGGCTGCAGATCATTACCACAGAGAGGTCCCAGGGTCAGATCGTTATAAATACCGTTAAGCTCAGAGCTGACAGGAGCCTGTGTGCATCTGGAGACAGAGAGAGGTGGCCCAACCTCCTCTGGGAGTCACGGTGTAAAAGGGGGATGAAAAGATGTGAAGAAGAGAGGCAGGGAGAGACGGTAAGCAGACACAAAGGCAAAAGAGGGGTCAGGTCATGACCCTACACCGTTAATAGACATGGAACTGGTGTTTAAACTGGTGGAGAGTGGTGGCCTGCGCAGCTGTCAATAAACTATGATGTCTAATGTTCAAAATGCAGGCCACAGCTCAGATGTGGGTGGCAGGAAAATGAGCTCTGAAGCTGCCAGAGGCTTTCTGTCATTGTTTTCAGATCAGCAAGCGTAGTAAAAACAGGTAAAAGCTCTGCTTTGTAGAATGACTGATGTATATTCAAAGGGATGCTTGAGAGATTGTGGCTTTAAAAAGTGATCCTTCAACCTCTGCCAATAATAACACTTGAAAACAGTGGTGAAACATCATTTATGAGCCTTTGCCCTTCTGAAAGGGACCACAAAAAGTCCCATTCAAAGATTAATCTGGTGGTACACAGGGCAGATCCATGAGCAAACAGATGGGGCCTCCGTAACACTTAGTTGGTTTAAACCTGAGTTTGACTGCAGACAGCCTTCTGTGAAAGAAGACAAAGGGCATATAGATGCTGAAGATTGAATCTGTATAAATGCTTTCACCTGCTAGTAAGACATCAGTTTGCACATCAATGTCACAAAGATGTTGGTCAGTTTAAACATGTTTTTTCATCCTCACAATGAAGAAAGGGGGTGTCACATAACATCTTTATATACATTTTCACTTCAACAAGGGAATGGCATGGCGTGGGATGCTAACTCATGAAAGCAGCTTCACAGGTTCATGTAAAGTTTGTTTCTAAACACCCCAATATAGCTGGGCATATTGTGAGCCACACAGACTCAGCGTGCACTGTCCGCATAGTTTAGTCTTCATACTCAAGCGAACCGATTTCCTAAAACTCTCTTGTGACAAACTCCTTTATTTCTT